TTATTTAATTAAATAATGCACTAAAGAACATAGACTAATAACATGCAAAAAGCAGACAAATTATCCTAACTCTCAAAATGTTTATGGCTTTCTAACTACACAACAAGAGCAGTTACAAATTCATCCAAGCTAGTTGTTAATTTTCTCGTGGGAATGAAGCTTGAACTCCGAGTGAAATTGAAATTCAGAACAAAATGTTATGCAGTACATCATCTGATAGTTGAAAACATTGACTTTCTGTTGGTTATAAGTAATATGTAATTAAACGTAACAGAGAACTATTAACAAAGCCTGAAATATAGGATGTGACAGGTAGGTGTGGCACAAGGGGTGTGATTTTCTATTTATAGCTGTGTAACCAAACAAAACCGAAAGCTCTAAAAATTATGGTTCCTTGGAGCAGTTACAGATCTATGGAGAGTAATTTATATTAAATTTCATACTATTTCAAGGGGTGGTGGATAGAATAGATAAGACAAGATACATGGAGAAAATATGTCATCATTGTCACAGTAGGGGAAGTTCAGGATTTTGTTTAATACTTCCTTATAGAATAAAGAACTGAAAACATATATACTATTAAAATATGGATTATTAGCAGTGTTTATGCGATATTAATTGGTATAACAAACAAAAAGTACTTTAATAAAATTTTAAATGTAAGACACAAACTTTCTGTCATGCACAGTAAAGAATACCCAGGATGAAAGAGTTAACTACTCATTACAGTTATATAATTCAGTTGGAAAACAGAATTCTTGGGTAAATAGACAATTACCCAAGAAAGTTTCTGTATTTTACATAAATCAAGAACTAAATATTTTGTAAATAATGTAAAAATTAGATATTCAAAGATATTTATGCATTAAACATACCTCTTGAAGACATGTCAATACCAAAGTCAACATTTTTGAAAAGGTATGGTTGGCCATCATATCCAAAATCTACAGCTATAAAAGCATTAATAAAAATGAACCAAAAATTATAATGTGTTGTTATGAAACTATTCACCACACAGAGTTTAATCTGAAAGACTATCTAGAAATAAAATCACACAAGAAAGCATATTTTTATTCCCCTTTTAATACCTACTATTTTTTTTAATATCCACATAATGATTTAAGAATAAATTAGTAAATATATACTGGTTGGGAAAAGAATAACACATATATTTCTACATTGTATCTTTCTAAGTACTGTTGCCATAGCACCTATGAGTCATGAACAGCTTCATCACAGAAGCCTGTTTGAACATGCATAAGCCACATAACAAAAAGGCCTCAATTATATGCTTGTTATTAGTAAAATGTTTTAAAAGTTCTCAACTGTATGCTTGTTGTTGGTAAAATGTGAATTTATACTTATCCCAACAGACCTTCAGAAAAGATAATGAAAATTAATCTTTTAACTTATAGTCATGTGATCTTTTCGTTGAAATTAACACTTACAGAACTTCATTTTTCATTTCACAATTTTTCAACTGTATTTTTAATCTGCATTTTGTAATCTTTTTTTCTGAACACCCATTAGTTTTAATAGCATAAATTCAATTTTCCTTCTTCTTTCACTAACAATTTATATATTGTTTATGTAAAAATTGTAATTTTCCACACATTTTGCAACTCAACCTTCATATTCTGTACAAGTTTTTTTTAGCTTACTATATGATGAAGAATGTTGAAACCTTAACTTTTGAAAAGTTTCTACCAATTTGTTGTTTACTAATTTATTTCTGTCTGTATCATCTGCACTGCTAACTACATATTCTTGTTTTTTGTAAAAACAAATGAACCCAATTAAGTTTATAAAGAAATCATGACCATAGAGATTTGTATAAATACAATGATGAAGTCAAGTTATGATAGTAGTATATAACAGGTGGTAATGGGTATATAGACTTCACAAACATAAATGACACACTATCAAAGACCATAAATTAAAATAAACATAGAAGAAATAAACAAAATACACAATTTCCATTATAAATGTTCAATGGATAGTAATGATGCACAAAAAGTATTCAAACTTACAATGAAGACCAAGAATGGGGGGACTTAAAGGTGGAGGACTTGGAAAGCTGAATTTAACAATGTAATCCTTGGGTTTCTTAAGTAGCTCTGTTGGGCCATTATCATCAGCATTAGACTGGAGCTTTTGTTTGTTTTTTTGCTGTTTTCTTGTCAAAACATCTTTTGTAGCTTTTTCCTGTAGACAATATACAAAGATCATTGTGGCACAGCATCAGCATTTTAACAATCAAGTTCTAAACAGATCAATCAACAAAGAACTTTGCCCTTACATAAACTGAAAGCTACACATCTGTCCTAAATCAAGTGTAACTGCTCAAGATTGCTAAATTTACTTATTTCATGGTCAAATCAAGTTACCATGAACACTAACTGGGATTATTGAAGCAATTGTAAAGAGAAAAATGTAGTGGGCAGTAAAAAATGAAATATTATTTAGCTTTATAATACTAATAGAAACAAAAAATGGTGTCATAAAATAAGTTATGTGGTTAGCAAAATACTTAACAATAACTTACACTGATGGAACTGATTAATGAGCTTTTGTTGGCTAAAGAATGTTTTAAAAAGGATTATATACAGTTCTGCATACACTCGTGTCACTTTTCTTGGGGCAAGTGCATGAAGATAACTAGTTTTTATGTCATGTAAATAGAGTTATATTGTACTATTTCTTTAGTTTTATTAATAGCACCGGCTGAAATGTTTAACATACACACAAGTTTAACTATTTTTCAAACATAAAGAAGTATTTTATATTCAACTAACTAATAACACATTTAACCAACCTAATAAAAGAGGAATACAATCCACAAAACATTTAAAAGATAATTGGAATTTATTATACTGTAGCTATTAAAGAAATAAAAACCACTGTTATAATGAATAACACACACACACAAGCCTTCAGTTTTATATGTTTACATTACACAAGTTTTTGAAATGATGTACTACTACTACTGGGGTTACATTTCTAGATATCTGGTGAACACCTTTACCTAAAAATTTAACAGAATAACAACAACAACTGCAATAAATTAAATATATCTAAATAAAAATCAACATGTTGTAATTGGTGCTAAGAATACAAAGTAAACATATTATTGCAGATAGCTCAGATAAGCAAGTATCAAGTTTCATGTCAAGGTAAATTGGTAAACAGGGATGTCATGTTGAAGCTAGTCAGGAAATAATTGTTACTAGAAGAAGACTTAATTCAAGTTCAACAGTGATCCCCAAGTTTTACACTTTAAACTCATCAACTGTGGCTTAAAAAATTCTATAGTTCATAGTCAGAAAATTATGGTTTGATAATGAACTTATACTTTAACATTGACAAAAACAACTATTTACTAGTAAACTCAACTTGGACTCTTACAACCTCTGAAATAATATTTTCTTTACCCTTCTAAAATGTTATACAGTTCTATTCATAGATAACCTGTATCAATTCAATGAACATGTCACTACCAAAGTAAAAAACTTTTTTTTTCCTCTTCACCTTTTAGACCTGAAGAAATAACAGCCTAAAAACATCTCCAGACCTGCCAACATTAAATTCTGAAAAAGAGTAATTCATACCGGGACAAGGGAAAAATAGTGAAAAATGTACATGGAAATGGTGTTGCTACAAAGGTTATGCAATTGTTATTCTCAAAAAACTATATTAACAACATACAGACTATTTTTTCTCTATAGTGAATAGATTAATAAAAAATGAAAAAGTTTTTCATGCACAAAAATCTGTTACTGAAATATAAAAAAATTTCATTTTAGAATGATCCTTCAGATTGAAAAAACTTCCATGAAATTCATGTAGATATTATATAATTAATTAATTTTGAACGAGTTAGTGGTCTTAAGACCGATGTCAGATGAAAGTTTTAATGAAATAATGCTATCACCCACTCTTAAATCATACAAGTTACATGGCTTACACAAAAATAACACAATCAGCCAATACTATAATCATATCTGATATTTTTATAGTAAGTACATAACCTGTTACTAAAATAGAATAATCACTTAACAGTATGTCAGTATGACCATAAGCTGTCAAGTAATTATTATATTAAATCATGTGCTTACTATAAGAAAGAAATGTAAGTTAATTACTTTAAAATATGTGATATCACTGTCTAATGATAACAATTATCCTTTTTATATTTGATTTTCAGCCCAAGAGCCAATCAACACATGATTTTCTAGTTACGAAACAATAAGTGTTTTGTAGGTTCTAAAATTATTTATTAATGCACAGAAATAACTAAATGATTGTTAGATATGTGTGACTGTTCAACTTAAGTTTAATACGAAAGTATTATTTAGTTTATATAATGCAAGCGTTAAAGTAACTTATTTTTAGAAGTGATAGTTATGTCAATTGTGTTTATGTCACTGTTTACGAATCATTTGTTGTGTCATTCAGTTGTTGTTAATTGACATCATGTTACTCAAACCATCTGAATATTTCTTGTTGCATCATGCCTCATAGTGTGTAGAAAGTTCGAAGCCTCGAGTCTTGCTATAAATACGTGTACAAATGTAGTTCAAGTAAGAGATAAAGTTAGTTAAAAAAAAAGAGAGATAGATCTATATTAGGTGATTGTGAGTTTAGCCATAAAAGTGTATAGTGGCAACTTTTAAAGTGTAATAATCATAGAAAGTATTGTAATAACAGACTAGAGAAAAATAAATAATCTTGTCAATTGGGTTTCAAGTAACTAAACAAACTTGTGTGGACATTTGATGTAAAAGATAATTATTTAAAGCTTTGGATACAACTGTGGTAATCAACAGTGTAATGACCATTCATATACAAGTTTGATTTGTTTTACAATATTATTTTAAAACATGTGGACTGTGTTCCATTTGTTTATTGTTGAAATTCATAGCCAACAAGTTACCAACACCTACTGTAAAGAATCATGGTCCTATAAAAATTTGACAATGATAAAGTAGTCACAGAAAAGGACAAGTTATGAATGAGAATATGAAAAACAAGACAAATAAAAAAAGTAAAATATGTTACAGTTCCCACTAACAAAGCTAATTGTAATTTTAGCTATATTTATAAAAAGTTTTATGCATCAATTTATGTTAAATGAAATCAATAGTACATAAACATTTAAACTTATTAATCAATCCAAATATAGGATAATTAATAATGTCATTAAAGCTTATAAAAAACTTTACTTTAAGCCAAATTATTTTGTAGATTTACCTTTTCTGTATGCTATTCCTAAACTCCATAAATCTCTGATTAAATTTAGATATATTTCTAGTTCAATAAAAATAATTATTAAACAACCAGCCATTTTATTAAATAAATTACTTAACATTATATTTGGTAAAATTAAAAATGTAAATATTAATAATAATATAATAAAATAATCAACCATTTTAGAATACTTAAATAATTGTGACCAAGCAAAAAATTTTCAAACATTTAATTTTACCACACTGTATACCATAATTCCATTGAAAGATTTAATTTCTGTTATGAATTCATTACTAAAATAGTTCTGTTATCCTTTCATTGTACTGGAAGAAAGAAAATTTAGCTCCAAAAATATAAAAGATATATTAAGTTTCTGCATTTATAATAATTATGTCTTTTTTCAATAACTAGGTATTTAAACAAGTAATAGGAGTATTAATGGGAGCTAACTAATCTACTTGTATTGAAAATTTATATCTTTATTTCTATGAGAATAGGTTTATTGAAAATTGCATAAACTCAGACATTTTTGCCTTAATTTACAGGAATATAGATGATTTAATTAGTTTAAATAATCCTGAGATAAATAATTTTATTAATGCTATTTATCCGATAGAATTAGAAATTGAAAATACTTCAATTTCCAATGTAGATGCACATTGTTTGAAATTAGAATGATTGATAATGATATCAATCTAAAAATTAAAAAAAACAATATTTTTATTTTCCAACATATGGCTTACCCTTTCTTATTAGTAATGTGCCATATTCTTCTGTTATAAGTATTATAACTTCACAATTATTCAGACTTTGTAAAATTGTAAAATTTGTAATAAATTACAATATTTTATTATTAATGTAGAAATATTAATGCAAAGATTAATATTCAGTGGATTTAATAAAGAAACTCTGAATAATATAAGAATGTATTAAATAAATATAAAGAAGTAAACATTAAGGAGATTTTACTGGTAGTTTCCAATAAGTATTTTTAGTTTTAATAAGGTCATTTAAACAACTTGGCACTACTTTTAAGCAGATGAATACCTTATTGCATATAAAGGCTTGTGTAGAGTTTGAAAATTGGTAGTTACAGTGGACTTAACTGGGTGGTTTGGTTGGGATTTTATACGAGTATAATTTTTCTACTGTGCCACTAATTAGCAATTTACTAGTACAATGGGGGCTGGAATGACAACCTCAGGAGGTAAGTTTATCTTACTTACCCCCAAAGCACATCTTCTCACTGAAGTATCACACATATTTTTAAAACTTTATTCTGAATAATGTATCCACAATTGTCTGCAGGCAGTGAAGGGTAATATAGATGTGTGATGTTGTGGCTTGAGCACACACATCTCGCTCTCCTAATTTCTACTTCTTTTGATATATTTTTTTTCAATTTCATCATGTGAGACTGGTGAACGGAGGTTAAGACTAATAGACAATGTATTCCCATAGCAATATGGGTCCTACTTCCGCAGTCACCTCTGAAAACCAGGGCACATTTTATATCCAGTATTGTAGCCTGTACCCTGGGGATCCTCTTGATTTGTGCAGAATCTTTGATTTGATTTTTGTTTGGCTTGTTTTTGTTCATTTGGATGTTATTTATCACAGGTTTGGACATGCTGTTTGAGTATTGCTTGACTGTTTGAGTATTGATACATATATCTTATATATATATATATATATATATAAGATTATATTTGTATGTATGTAACACTGTTCTTAAAAAATAAATGAATGAAACTTAAAAAAATGGCAATGTTTAATTTTGAAAAACTAGTTCACATAAAACTTAATTTGTGTTAAGTAGCTTTTAACGATAGCTGTCCAAATGTTTTTTCTTTTGGTGTTTTTATCATAAACTAACACAATCGGTTTAGTACTACATAACGTGTTTTGTTTTGCAATGAAACTAAACATTTTATTGTATACCTGTTTCACCTACTGTATACCTAATTTTTGGATGCACATGTGCACATGTACATCACTGTCACCTCCATATTTAGGATAAGTTTATTACATGACAATATTTATATGCTAAAGTGGAGAACTGTCAGCATCTTTTAAATAAAATTTTCTTCTAGCTTTTCTTAAATTTTGTATAGCAGTTTTAAAGTTACAAAATTACAATACACAAATTGCAAACTGCCAGAATGTTTTGATAAGAATAAATTAGTTATAGATATTAATAAAAGTAAAGAAATCAAAGCACATCTTCTCAATGAAGTATTAAACATATTTTTAAAACTTATTCTGAATTATGTATTCACAGAAATACAAAACATTTATTGCTACACTTTAAGCTGTAGGTATATTACAAGAGTAACATTCAATCCCTAAGCATGTATAGTGGGTGGTAGGGTGCTATTGATCGGCTACTTTCCCTATCATAAAAACAATTTTGTTGATGTCAGAAGCACTGGCAAAATAATTTAATATGTATTAAACACAAACTTTTTAATGTATTTGCTTATTCATTACTTTTAATACCAAATACTCACATGACTCAAATGATAAAAAAATTAACTTACAGCTTGTTTACTGGATTTTCCTGAAGCTTTCATTTCTTTAAGCTTTTTTTCCTGTTTTTCATATTCCTTGATCATTTCTTTTCTTTTCTGTACATACATTTTCTTGAACTGACCTAAAATATTCAAATGTCTCACATATTTATGTATATGTATGTATGTATAAAAAAGAAAGAAGCAAAAATATTCAGGTAATAAAAGAAAGAAATTAGATTTTTGGAGATAAATCATAAAAATTTCAGTTTAATTTCATATTTTCTTGATGATATATATAAGGATGCAAAAATTTTCAGGAAATATGAATGATTTTTGTACCGAATGGGTCATACATAAATGTAAAAGGAATAACATGTTTATGATAAGTGGCAGCAGAAGTGTGTTGGTTGAAGTGAGTTAGACAAATGTCATTGAAATCTGTAAGTTATCCAAATTGTTGGCATTAAAAGTATTAATATGATTTAAGCTAGGCAATCTATAAAAAAACTGAATTTGAATATTTATCACACGCAGATTCTCTTTATTGTGATTAAGAAGAGTAGCCAAGTTTTTGAAAAAATAAAGCACCTCAATTTTGGTTATTACTGTAAAACCTACGTAATCTGGAGAATTGTGATTTGACAATGTTTAACTTGTTGTTTGGAGGATAACTAAAGTGGAAATGTAAGTAACTGTGTGTGCCCATTGGTGATATAAAAAAGTTGTGAGATGGTTACTGTTAGTCACAGTAATATATATATATATATATATATCAAGAAATTAGATGGACTGGTATGAACTAGAAGACATGTATTGGAATGACAGGTACAAGGATTTATCGTACTGAAGAAAAAGGTCAAGGTTATCATTAGTGTATGTTGCTATGCCAAAAATAAAGTCTCTGAATGTCTAATTACTTTATTTTAATACCTTTGCATTTTCATGCTTCTTATGAGATTTAAATATCACAGCTCTTCCTAAGAAAATGTATAATAGCCTTTGTAAACTATCCACATTACTATCCAATTCAACTGTTTTAGTTCTGGTCTCCTTTTCAAGGCTGTTGTATCTTAATACCAGGTACTACACAGTCACACATATTTTCTTCATATTTGTTGAAATTTAAGCCTTAAGCCCTAGAAGTTTTAAGATGAAGTTCATCTACATAATATTTCAGACAATGATTTCTCAACTGTCAACCCTCCCTTGTTGCAATAGAAATTTTGGTGGTTATCAATAAGTTTTGCTGTTAGCAAACAGTCTTCAAGGAACATAAATCCCACAACAGGAGACATAAATATGTATTTAACATTTTCAAGCTACTTATGAACAGAACGATCCACAAAAAGAAGTACTAGAATTGTCTGGCTATGTACTTTCTTTGCCAGTTGAAGCACAAGTCATAAGTTATCTTCTGATTGATTTCCTGTGGTGCTGATTTGTTTATTTTAACATAAATATGCAATAGCAAGTACTGCTTATGCCCTAAACAACTAGGAAAGATTTAGTCATAAACATTACAGACTTAACAAAAAAGTATGAATGACATGAAGTAAACTTGCGACAACTTTGTTTTGATTTGTTTGTTTGAAGTTAAGAACAAAGTTACACAATGGAATATCTGTGCTCTGCCCACCACGGGTATTGAAACCCAGTTTCTAGCATTGTAAGTCCAGAAACATACTGCTGTGCCACTGGGGAGCTGTTGTTTTGGAGTATATTCATTTGGTATTATATTTTCAGATTATCCCTATGTTAAGATATGATTTTTTAAATTTAAATGATGCCTAGGTGACCAATGAGAAGATAAAATGACTTCAACAAGCAAATAAACAAAACTGCAGTTTCCTAGACTTGTAAGATATTTTTTCCAATCCTGTATAAATTTAATAATTCTAAAACAATTAACAAATATTTCTAAACCATAAACTTGATAAATAATATTCCCAATTTAGAGGATGTGTAAGAACCATTAATTGACATTTGCTCACTGACAGTTTGCTTTCTCTCTCACACCTAATGATACAACACTTTTTTTTATTATATACCAGATGCATATGACACGTGATTTTAACAATGAGACAAAATATTTAAAAATAAAATAATTTCAAATATGATATTCAAAGCAAGCTCTGTATTCATGGTTCTGAAAAGAGAATACTGGAAAAATATTGTAAACAAATAGCAATAATATTTGTGATAAATATCAAATTACACAGATCTCTTTTCATACTTCTTTTAAGTTCTCCATAACTGAGGGAATATGGAATAATACATTCAGTCTAATGGGAAAATTTGGATTTCAGATCAAAGCACTTCTTATACAAAAAAACTAAAAAACAAATAACTGAGAAAATACAATGTAGTAATCTCTCTCTCCTATATCCTAAAGACACAGTGGCTTATCAGCTAAAAAAAATTAAATTCTATGATACTTGCTTTTTTACTATATGTTACTAGTATGCAATGTTCAGAAGTTTTATACTTACTAAAGTTTCCTCTGTAATAAAAAAGTTTCTGGTTGTCAAGGTGAATAACATCTGTACAAATATTGTCTAAGAAACTTTGGTCATGAGAAACAACTAACAAAGTCTTCTTCCAAACCTGCAGATAGCTGTAAGACAGAAGAAAATAATATATAAAAAGGGGTTAAATATCATCCTCAGTTTGTCTTAACAGTATTAAAGAGTTTTAAAAAGTTATAACAAGTATAAAAAAATAATTTACCTGAAAATCCTCCTTTTTCAATAACACACTGACTCTCTGTTGGTAACATTCAAATTAACTCAGTGGTTTATCTCAAGTGGAAATCTCAAATTCAAATGACAGTCGAGACAGGATATTTTTTATAACTTGTCATGTTTAGAAAAAGATACCACAATATTAGGAAAAACTACAATAGCATGATGGATTATATTAGGGACTTCAATTGTTTCTTAACATAGCACTTGAGTATAATATGGAAGTCTCAATTTCAAATATCAGACGAATAGGGAGTTTATGATAATATTTTCATCCTTATTTTTTTTATACATTTATTATCATATTTACAACATGCTCTTTGAATATTTGAAAAAATATGAATACAATTTTAGATTATATAAGGAATAATATCATATTACATAATAAACACAGTGACTGTATGCGTCAAAAAGAACTTACATTTTTTTTTCAACCAACAGATTGTGTTACATTATTATTGATGTTTTTCACTTTAGGTAAGAGTATTTTTAAAATTCACTCAAGCAACTAATAAGCATTTTTTATGAAAAGATATATTTGTGAATTTACCCTTTACCATAAAATTTATTGCCTTTGCCATCTCAATTAATAAATGGTAGGGTCATACATTTAACCATGTAGGAATATTTATTTGAGAGCCAGTTTTTTACATGGTTCAAACAATAAGGCTTTATCAAGAAAATTTGAACATAAAAATACATGCAAGTTAAAAGTCTACTAAACAGCCTCTTACAAAAGATGACCAAAAACACACAAAAAAGGTTGTTTTCATGAAATACCAGAAAAGCAATAACCATTGTTGATATGTTTAACTATAAAATAACTAATTTTTAGAAAACATGTTCATAAAACATTTATTTAGATTCAATTTTCAGAAGAACAATTAATTGGCATTTACTATCATATGATAGGCAGTCAGCCGGATACATAACAAACACCATTCACTGCATGTGTCAAACACAAATATCTTTTCAACTTAACCCCATCACAACGGACATCTTTTACTGTGCATGTCACAAGATTTTAGTGACATTCAAAATGTTATTAATCTATTTTTTACTTATGTTATACCAATTTGTATAGCAAATGACACATTTTCTTTAGGCATCTTCTCTTCCCTATTTTATCCACCACCCCTCCACTAAGTATGAAATTCAACATAAATTACTCACTATAAAATCGTCATTGCTCAGCCAAACTGTAATTTTTATAGCCTTCAATTTCGTTTGGTTACAGAGCCATCAAATAGAAAATCAGACCCCTCTTGCCACAACCACCTGTCACATTTTCTCTTCCAGAATTTGTTAAAGTTCTTTTTTATGTTTAATTATATATTATCTATAACCAATAGAAAGCCAAGGTTTTCATCTATCAAATGACATATTATATAATGTTGTTTTCTGAAAAGAGAATTGTCAATTTCACTGTTAGAACAAGCTTTGTTCCCATGGGAAAGATAACGACTAGCTTGGATGATTTTGTAACTGTTCTTGTTGCATAGTTAGAAAGCCAGAAAAATTGCAATAGTTAGGGGAGATTGTCTACTTTTCCATGTTATTATTATAGGTTTTTTGTCACATTATTTAACTGAATAAAAATTATTTAGTGCATTACTACCATTAGTATAAAAAAAGTAGTATAAAAATCAGTGGCTGATTTTTCCAAGCCGGTTCCCATGGCTGTGGTTTCGCTAGATAGTAGATAGGGACAATGGGAATCTCGTTAATCCATTCATGCACGTCACTAATTAGATGACGAGGCATTTGGATACCTTAAGAGAGTCATTGCACATATACACCAGTGTATGTCTATCTCAAACACAGCTTAAATATATTTCAACCTAATACATTGCACTACAGTATATTACTGATGTTTCTCAGTAAAATTATTAAGCTTATTTTATGAAAAGTTATACAATATACCTTTGTGCACTTGCCTTTCACCCTCAAATTATTGTTTGTCTTTGCCATCACAATTACTAAATCACAGGTTCAGACATTTGATCGTATGGGAATATTTCTTTGAGAACCAGTTTTTTGCATGGTTCAATTTATAGGGGTTTATCAAGATGCAGATCTGAACATAACATTAAAATATATACAAGACAAAATTCTAATCAATCAAGGAATTTGTTTATTTTTTGAAGTTAAGCACAAAGCTACACAATGGGCTCTTCTCACCACAGGTATCAAAACTTGGCTTCTAGCATTGTGAGTCCGTAGACGTACCACTGTGAAGCCAATCAAGGAATACTTATAGGAGATATACAGAAAAAATGATTTGTGAAATACTAGAAAAAGGATAAACATTTTCAAAAAAAAATAAAATCAGAATTTACAATCATATGATGGGCATTAGGCTAGTATATAACATAATTAAGTTTAAGCTTTAGGCTTCAATTTTGTTTTAATACTTGAATGGATACATTCCAACTTTCTAAAATTATTTTGTAACTCTCTCATTTATTAATTTTAAATATTTTCTTTGACCCTTGAGCATTCAGAACTGAATCTTAAGTTATTAAAGAAACTTATAATCTATTATATTGAATATAGAATAATTTTTGACAATAATTGTCTGCTGCTCATCAATTAAGAAGTCTGCCACTGAATTAAAATAAGATTTCTAACAAGGGCATACACAAACATGTAAAACTAAATACATCTTTACAAGTTCTAGAAATACTCCTAAAAACACACAAAAAACTAGACAAACTGAATAGGAAAAAACCAAAAGAGGTAGAAACCAGAAAGGGTTTTCAGTTTTTGAAACTCTTGAAAATTTGAATTATGGTTTATGTTTACATGCAGTACTGGGACAAGTCTTCATATCATCATCATGTTGTATAGCATACACATTCTCAGTTTGCCCCTAAAGAAGAAAGGTCCACCTTTCAGAAGCATTTGGGTTACAGAGGGTTTTTTATTCATTTCTATCAAGACTTCTTGAATTTACGCGTTTTTCTAATATCATGAGTGCACTAATGTGCAAAAATTATAGATCACCATTGCGTTTCCTGTGCAAAAGGTGTTCAGGATGAGATATAGTAAAAATACCAATCTAAAACCCTCATCTATTTTTATACCTTCCCCTTCCAAATAATGTACTTGGTTTAAATTTATTCAAAAATTAGATCTAAGAATCTTAGAACTGATGAAAGTCATGTTTCTAATAACTGAAGCACATAGCCTTTAGATTTAATGCTGTGGCTACAAAACTAATGTCCAACATTTAAACTTCTCCTATGAAAGTATGAACAATTTTTTTTCTGGCTTTGAGTTTTTATTTGCTTTTATGAAATATAAATAAAATTCTTTATTCTGTGCCTCAAACATGGCTACTGCTCTTTCAAATACGAAATATGGCTCCAAGATGCCCAGTTTCTGAAGCAGTAAGACATAGAATAGCTTTGTTTAAAGAAGGATACAGTCAGTTTCACATTTCTGCAAAAACAAAATGTATCATATACTGGAGTTCAAAAAATAATCAAAAGATACAACCAAACTGATATCACTGATAACAAAAAACATGCCTGGAAAAACACTTAAGTTTGTCAGAGCAGATGCTGAATACCTTAGGCTTACTTCACTAAGAGACAGACATAACTATAGTAGATGCCTTAGTGCTGAATTTCAAAGAAACCAAAGGTTTTAAAGCTGACCCTCCCACAATGTGACAAGAACAACTTCAAAGGAGCACTGCACCAAGAAAATCTTTGTTCTAGAAAGGCAACAAAGAGAAGACATTTGAATTTATAAAAATCCAAAAAAATTGGACAAAATATATGTGAAGAAGAATACTTTGTTCTGGTGATTCTGATAAGTCAGTTTTGAATTCATGGAACCAATAGATGTCAGTATATCACTGCATGTATGGTAACAGTTTAAAAGAAAATTAGCCTTCAGTTGTGAAGAATGATGGATAAACCATCAAAGTATGGGCTGTTTGTGATCTCTCTTGTACTGATAGAATCCCAAAATTTGCCTAATATAAAGCAAGTATTCATTCACTAAGCTGTTCCTCCTGAAAGTTGTTTAGAGATAAATTTAATTTTCCAGCAAGATAATGATCCCAAATAGGTAAAATATTGTTATTTTTATTAGCATCAACTTCGTTACAACACACACAATCACTTCTTTTAGACTAACATCTATTGCTGCCAAATTAAAAAGAACAGTTGTAAGCTTGAAACAAAAAATTTAGTTATAGACATATACATGAAAATATATTGATATCTCACTAAATGGAGAAGTTTGGGAGTTGAAACTATAAATTTGACCTTAGGTTTATTTATAGATTGTGTTTACATTACTTACAAAGTGTAGATGCTATACTACTGAAGTAATAAAAATTAAAGGAGAGAAATCAGAGCACTCACATGTCACTATGAAGACTGATAATTTTTTTTAGATATTTTCGTTTGAAATTAGAAAATTTGAACTTAAGTAATATAAAAACTTGCATTATAAACTACATTCTGATATTACTTTTACTGATGTAAGTTAACAATAAAGATGTTAATTATATTTCAAATGTACATGTAAAAAATCTTTGTGTGCAAAAGAAAACTCATTAGTAAAGTATAAGGCTCTCTAGAGTCCAGATATTACATATATAGAATACTTTTATGACCATATTGGAGGGGTTAATTTAAAAGGTAAGATATTATTTCAGTTATGATTAAATGACCAAGCTTTTCAAAATAAAATAAGGACATATCACATCAAACTCATATCAGAACCTATTGTCCAATGTTCTCTTCTTTGACTAATCCAAATATTAACAGTACAAACAAAAATTGTTAAGGGCTGTGATGACACTGGCAGACCTGTTAACTTATTGACAACACTTGTGAAAAGAAAAACTTACTTGTCCAACCAAATAACAGCATTCAGATCTAAATGGTTTGTAGGTTCATCAAGTAGTAGTAGCGTTGGTTCCATGAATAAAGCCCTGTTGAATGAAACATTAGTAAATGATACTTATTTTAACAAAATTTTCTTTTGTATTTGTTCCTAAGTTCTTAACAATCTTATGAAAAAGCATATGAGCTAAAACATGAGTACTGAAAAAAAAAATAATATATATATATATATATATATATATATACAAATAAGTAATAATTCAACACTGATTGACTAAATTATAGTTGCAATAATCAGGTTTAGTAATATTAGCATAATTTCACTATTACAGTCAAAAGTTATAATTTTCCTATACTGAAAATGTATTTCCGATAGTTACTTACCTCCCTATATATGCAAACTTTTTCTTTATGCATGCCACAAGCCTTCTGCTTCCTATTATTGGAATTGAAAAATTCCAGCATGTCTCATGTAAATCATTATGTGTTACCTCTCCATCAATAGGAGCATGACATGCTCACGTGACTCCCTCTATACTCATCTACCAAACTATCATGTTGAAGTCTGGCAGAAGATTTAAGCTCTGGAGGTAAGTGGGGATAGAAGGATGGGAAGTGTGAGAGAAGGTAAGTACCTATTTGAAATACATGTTTAGTATAGGAAAATTATAACTTCTGATACAGTACTTACCTCCCTCACAAAATTAGCTAAAATCCCTCATTCAATAGAAGGAAGGACCAGTGCAATGAAATTATAGAAGTATCCTCCAAAAGTGCCTGAAGGATACCCTTGGAAAGGAGAGTCAGATCTGAAGATCAGATGAGGGGAACTGCACCACTTTTGAACCAGGTATACTCTTTGCCTCTCTGTGAAATGTGGAGAAGGACAGAAAAGGAGAGGACCACATCTAAGTAGAAAAGAACTGTGTCAGGATCGTGATCTGACCCATATAAAATAAATATAACTCAACCCCTGAGGTGTAGAGTGGCTAGGGCACGACAGACCATACTCAGTAAGTCAACTACATCCAATCCCATCTGACATCCAAGAAAGTGTAGGATGAGGATCATACTGCCTTCACCTCAAACTCAAGAGACTGGAAAATTGAGAATCATGCTGTCTAGCAGGTAAGACACAAGTATTAGCACCGAGCCATCGATCCAAGGACTCTACATCCAGTATCGAAAGGATGTCTATTGCATGCAATCAACTCCCCTAACCGGAAAACATCCCAGTAAAAAAGATCCAACATCCAAAAGCATAGATCTCTCGACTGGATGCCCCTTTGGTGATTGATATGTGCCACCACCTTAGAATTATCAGAATGTACCATCACCAGAATCCACTGGGTAGTCACTGGTACTGTTGGTGACGTGAGGTGCGTTGTCGAAAAAAAGGGCAAGAAGAGGCATCCTGAAAAGAAGGGAAAGGTAAGAGTTGGGAAGAAGGGGAAGCAAGGGAAACATTAATAGTTGGCATATGAGGCTCTGACTGAGACAAACGTGCAATAATGTTGGTAAGGGAGATTGCTGTTGGATAAATGCCATCCATGGCTCTGGTGTTTGGGGATTTGGTCAAAAACGTATAGCTGTAGAAATGGGGCCATACATAAATCCCAAAGATAAGTCAATGGTAAATGGACCTGAGCCAATATCGCATCATGACTTAGAAGATACCAACGACAGAGAAATCACATATGCAAAGCCAGAGCTGAAAATTACAAACAAGCTAGTGTGGAGGAAAGACTGGAAAAGGTATCCCCAGAAAACCCCTCAGTATTTCTGTGAAGACCCTCAGAGATGAGGTGTAGAGAAGAGAGATATTATAAAAGAATTGTAAGGGTAAGATGCAGGTGAGAATACTGGGCATGGGTCAGACTGACAGGTGATTCAGGAGCCACCCCCTCAAACAGGCAATATGAAACCTAACAACTGTTGGTCCAAAAAGGGACAGTCAGCACGATGGTATGAAAGAGCAAACTGATATGAAGCCCACAAGGGGTGAGACATGCTAATCCCATTGCTTTATTGCAAGTCAAATTGATCAGCATGAACCTGAATGTCAGGGGAAGGAGGAAAAACCAAAAAGGGGTGGGAAGATTGGTCCTGTAGTAAGGAAGGACATAGCTTACAAGAAACAGGAGAAAGGGATAAAACATCACATTCCTGAGAAACAAAATCCAAAAAGACTGAGTTAGGCCTAACAGATACCTCAGGCAGGGGATGGGTAGGTATGGCAAAATCAGGAGGCAAAAACAGATGATCCAACTCCTCGTCACTCTGAACAGGCTCTCCCTGTTTGGGAGGGGCGAGGTCCGAGGACAAAGGCTGGCCCATGTAACATTCAATCTCCTGCTAGATAAATGAGGATAAATCTACTGTTGGGTCACCTGCACCCGAGGCCTGAGACAGAACGCTAGTTGCTGGTGTGACCCCTGAAGTGGTAACATAAACTTCGGAGTTCATTGTAAAGAAGAGTCCACCAAATTCGAGCAGTGAAAAAGAACTATCTGATAAAAATTTAAAGTGAAGAAACCGTCTGAAGGAAAACTAAAGAAATTAAAGAAAACCACTTCCTGAGGAAAGTTAAGCCAAATGTGAATCTCTAAACAAGCAAGAAGTACATCCAAGCACAAGCACTGCCAAACAAGAAGTGATGCTTTGGTAGAGGAGTGTACAATGAGTCACATGCATCATGTGAGCATGTCATGCTCCTGTTGGTGGAGAGGTGACAGATGATGATTTGCATGAGACACATGTTGGAATCTTTCAATTCCAATAGGAGGGAGCAGAAGGCTTGTGGCATGCGTAAAGAGGGCAACACTGAACGATAATAGCTAGTTTTGTGAGTGGAAGTAAGCACTGTATCGGAAATACACAAAAGGTGTATAGAACATTGCCTAAAAGGAATTACTTTATTTTACTTTGAAATCTTCGTTCAGTTCTCTTACTGGATAAAATTTAAAAAGTACACTTTATCTGCCAATAGTTTAATCTACAATCACCAGAGTGAATTAATTGAGCATTTTTTATTGTGTAACTAAGTTGAGAGAGTTTTATTTGTATGCTTATATGTGCCAATTTGGAATGCATGAGTAAATTTTCCTTATGATAACAGTTACTGATAAAAATGTTAGTGTAAGAAAAATAAAATTTATTACATTTTTTTCATTTAATGTATACCCAGGAAACTCTTGAGAACTTTGAACACTTCCCAGGTTGGAAAAGGATACAGCCTAGTAGCCATTAGAAAGGAAGATTCTAATCTGTCATGCTCTGCCATATGGAATACAACAGTGCCATGTGAAAATTAGTTATGCTTTTGAAAATGCTGAGGTTGAGTACAGCTACCATTAACAAAACAACCTCAAGACAAATACTTTCCAACTAATTATAGACCTGTGATGTTTTAGTTTCTGCTGATGTTCTTTTCATTCCTGATAATACTTTTGTACTATGTTATGTTAAATGGGAGCATTTATCTATGACAAAACATCAAATAAGGATATTTAGGTTTAACAAGTATAGTAAGCTAAGGCTTGTGACAGTAAACTTATTGAATGTAGCGTTGAGTTTATTGTATTCAAACAACACACAAAAATAAAAGAAATCCTCTAATATTTATTAAAAAATAAACTAGTTAGTAGACAACTCAGTTTTGACCAAAGGTATTATTGGTGAAATATCATTCTACTGCACCTGACAAAATATTTATGTTATTTTTAAAGACAAGGTCATTTACCAAAGGTAAATTTTTGTCAATCATGTGTTTATATGATTCACATTCACAGAGGGAAGTTATCTGCTCCCCAATCAGCAAATTTCAAGTATCAAATGAAATGTACTGATGACCAAAGAAGTTAAAACTGGTAAGAGTTACATATATATAGAAATGGAACTTTCTGATCAACAATAAATACCACTGAAAATTCAAAGCACAAGGAAGTATTTTCATGATTTTTTTTTGTTTAAGATTTGAAACTTTTGTTATATGAATTTTTTCCAAGTAAAAAGTTGCTACTTCAGAAGTTCAGACCAAGTTTCAGGCAAATTGTTTAACTATTTTTAATATGAAAATGTAAAATATTGATTAGTTCTTTTAGAACTAAATTACTGTGTAAAGGTGTAATTTCTATATAAAATAAGGAAAGACATCCCATGATATATGCACAATACACATGTACTAAGTAAAAACTGAGGGAAAAAAATTACATACACAAATATTATTACCCATGAATATGCAATTAAATCTGACTTACCGAGCTAGAGACACTCGCATTCGCCATCCACCAGAGAAGTTCTTTGTTGGTCGATCTTGCATTCCACGATTAAAACCTAAACCTGCCAAGATTCTTCGAGCTCGTGCTTCAGCAGAATCTGCTCCAATAATCTTAAGTTCCTCATAAACCTAAACAGATACAAATCTTTTAAGAAGAGGAAAATCTAAGTTTATTAAAGAATGAATCACACATAAAAATCTACACACAAACAGAAAATTTAAATACTATATATTAAATTGTGAAATTTATGTAAATAAATTGTAAAAAAAAGTATGATTCAGAAATGTTATTTTAGCTTTTTAATTTTTCCAATGGTATTACAATAATATAAATCTAATCAGAAACCTCATTTAATCGAGTCTGATTCTTCATGTTGCCAGTACTTATTTCTTTTTCCAATGTATTCAATTCCTCCAAAAGTTCAACCCTCTTTGTGTCAGATTTTAAAACAACCTCCACAGCTGATGTAGTATCAGCAACTACCTCTAAATACACACAAACAAAAAGGTGTTAAAATGTGCATACATACACCAAAATCATTCAGTACATGTAGAAATGTAACAACACTAAGTTTTATAAGTAATTTAAATGCTCATTTACACTTAATATTGTAAACTCATATGATCTATTTTCAACATAAACATGAGAAAAATAGAATGTAACAAATGTTTCTTAGTGTGTATTTTGCTAATAAATAAATTGATGTACATTTGTTTGTCATGCTTTCTAGCAGATGTAATGGCTGCCACTATCTGAACTAGAACAAGTTTAAATACATTAAATCCTGAAATATATGTCAGCAGGACATGATATCAATTATAACCATTTTTTAATTAAGTTTTTGAAGCCTTACGTTTAAAAACACTTAAAAATAACTAATATTCTAAAAACATAGATAAACTTCCATAATGCTTTTTTTACATTTTAAAATACCAAAATACCCAATATCATGTTTTTTACAAGATCACTTCTCAATAGCTTCACCTACTAAACTTAAATTGGTATTAATGAAAGCACACTGTTATATCGTGAAAGACAGTTTCAAGCCCACATCTGAGAACAAATATTTTTTCCAGACATGAAAAATGCAAACAAGACTGGTGAAATGTATATATTCCTATTCAGATATACAAGTTATTTACAAAAAATGAAACAGTTCTACAAATTACTGACAAGATATATTTCACGGCCTTATTATCAAATTTACAGAAAAAAATTAGTCAAATATCGTACTTGTTGGTATATTAACTTTTATGTAAAATAATATTAATATTTCAGAAAAAAAGAATAAGTTTTGTTAGTACTCAAAACTAAAATAAAGTTCCAAATAAAACTTTGACAATTTTCATACTGTATGTATCAGTAGTTCTAGTTCTGAGAATATAAGAAACAAAGTACACACAAAATTACAAATTTTATTTAAAAAAGAAAATTCATAAGTTAGCAAAAAGATTAAAAATAGTGCTTGTATCTTATATGTTTTTAATTATGAAGCGCACCAGTTAAGAAGTATCTTACCTTGCTCACAGAGAAGAACATCAATGTTCGGAGGGATATTTAGAGCTCTATTAGCTATATGTTTCAGCAATGTAGTCTTTCCATGGCTAAAAATACACACATTTTTCTTTTAACTTTATAGGTAATCATTAAAACTTTATTTTGTCCATGATAAAACGAAAAAAATCATATAAATGTCACAGAATGATTCATATTAATAAACCACATTTACTAAACTTTATATTTTTAGAATTAAAATGAATTTCTGAAACACTAGAAGGCCTTCCTTGTTAATTATGAACTCAAAACATGCACCTCAAAATTTTTGAATGTACTTTAGATAATTGCATACCATATACATCATTTACCTATAATTCTCCACTCTTCCACTTTTCACATGACTTATTGTGCAAGTGTCCAGAGATCTTACATGAATTTTTTTTCCTGCTACAATTTAGATTTGCTTGAAAATTGCAGGTACAAGTTTGTTTTAGAGCAAACCTACATTGATTTTAGCATTGTAAGTCCATAGACTTATCACTCTTCCACTGTGAGACTGCAATCACAATAAAAATTTGTTTGTGGGGTGGTGGGTAGCAAAGTATTTCAGAGGTAAGTATATACTTGAAATTCATTTTAATTTTACAAATGCAAATTTGAATCAAGTAAACTTAAATCAAAAATACTAAAAGCCAGAATACCCATACTGTAAAAGATGTGGGAACCAATGATCCAACACTACAGAGCAAGAAGATAAGCTATCTATGCTATAAAAAATTTAAACAAGCAGAGTCACAGTAGAATATACAATAGAGCAAGGTAAACACATTTTTAGAATTGGAGTCCAGGAAGAACATGTTGAATGAACCAGTCTTATACAAAAAAAAAGGATTGAACTTGAAAGACACACAGAAAAAAGCATTATTTTTAGGATACCTCTTCATCATGACATCCAGTAAAAACAATGGAATATAGGTGGTGACATAAAGAAGTAGGATGAATATTATTTCCTCCATCTGTAGTTGAAAGTTCATGAATGAGCAGTTCAGATAAGTATTATGAAAGGACATTTCAGAGGAGAACCAATAAAGACTCAAACAGGCCCAGAGCATGGGTTATAAAAGTCAAGGACAGTGCAATGGAAACATCAAGTGATAAAAAAGAGCATGGATGAATCACATCCTAGTAGAAGAGGAGACAATCAATGAAATATTCAATGTCACGGAAATACATGTAAAAATAGATATACATGACTTCCAAGTAGTCCAACTTTAGCTGTTTTTAACAAACAAATACACATATATATACATATGACATATCTTTAAGGATATTTATATCACAACCCCAGGCACCCCAAGATATGTTAACAGACATGTTCTGTGATATACCAATACTTGTGTTGCTCAGGACAAATGCAGAGGTTAACCCTTTTGCCACGAACTCAGTGGATTACATTAATTTTGTGACCTCAAATGACCATTAGGTTCAATGCTATAACTTTATATGTTTTGTGTATCTTCATGAAATTTTAAGCTTTTAGTAAATATTACAAGTCACTTGTAGACAAAAAAAAAAAAAATAACCCCACTTTTTGTTATAAAGAATTTGTTCATGAATACACACACACACACACACACATATATATACACACCATTAGACAGTTTACATGACACCACTGATAGCACACAAGCACATGCAATGCATTAACCAGTTGTTTACTACAAAATGTATCGTAATCCCGGCTTCAAGAGTGGGAGAAGATTTATCGGCTTGCTTAAAGCACAGTGGTTGCAACAAGAAGTGTCTAAAGTAATAAAAGTTCATTTATTTTCTAAAATGAAGGAAAAGACAATTTATTTCTGTTGATTTCAAAGATGTATTTTAGAAAACCAAAACAATTATCAACTTACTATACTGGTATACATAAAATCAATGAAATTTATCCAACTTTCTAGCTAAGCTATATATGGGTTTAAAAAAAAGTTTATCTTTGTTCAGAGCAGAGACTTACTGAAAAGACTTCAACATCTCCCGTCGATTATAAATTTCCCCTTCACGCCAATTACATACAACTTTCAGATTTACGTAGTTTGGAATGTGCTCTTTCTATTGGCTATAAACATGTACTTAAGTGAAGTAGGCATGAGTAGATAAGAGGTTTCAAAATAATGAAGTAGTGAGTGGAGCTATCCTTGTAGGTTTGCAAAATATGTTGATATCACAGCAAATCAAGAAGGTGGGAGGTTATTTTATATTTTAGCTTGTAAATATCTGAAGTTTAAGTTTCTAATTTGTTAACCACTACAGGCATTGTATAGTAAGCATAATAAAATATAAGTTGAGCATTAAGATAAGACATGACATATGACACACAAAAAAGTATAGTTGTCACTTACATTAAAGATTTTCTTTCAAATTAAAACATATATAGTATTAAACCTTTATTCATAAACTACATTATGATGCCAATTTTATTGACATACAATGATAAAATTATTTAATTAAATCTTGAAAATAACTTGCTAAAACATTGTGGAATACACTCTTAGACCTCTCCATTGAGAGGTTAATATGGACAAATTAAGGAAACATTTTGCCATGTTAAAAGCTCATTAAATTCTAATATTCATTTTTTATATGTATTTTTCTACTATGTACCATTTTTGTATTCTGTATTTTTTTAAATTATTTAATTTTTTTTTATTTACAGAAAAATAAAAAATAAAATATTCAAATTTGAAAAAAGGGTATAATTTTTTATTTTGCACCCTTTAATTTTTGAAATGGAGCTAGCACTGATTGTAAATATTGCATATCATAGTAAACCTTTTTAATTACATTATCATCTATATTTTCAGCAAAAAGTATAGTTGAATGGCTAACTTTAGTAAACCCAGTACAGTTTTCCTATTTTGTTCCAGAATTTTTTTGATAATTTTTGTTCATAACAATGGTTTTAACAATACTAACTAATAGAAGCTGTTTCAAACCCAGTAATGTAAAAACAGAGAAATTTGTATATTCATCTCTATCAACAAACTATTGTATCAAAGAGAGAGAGAGATTATCTATGTTCAGCAAGGGTTTCTGTACATCACACTAAAAAAAAACCTGAACTTACCCATTGGGACCCACTAAACCATATCGTCGCCCTGCTGTTATATGTAAACTAGCATTAACAAATAGGTCCTTTCCTCGAGCTGATATAGAAAAGTTATCCACCTGATAATAAAATGAAAGAAATATTTTCAATAAATAAAAGTTAGATGTTAATAATAATTATGATATACATCTGTTATATACAGTGTAGATTAAAACTGTTTACCAGGTCTTTTAAATGAAATATGGCAAAATATATAATAACCATTTGGCTATAAGTATGATATTTGTTAATTTGAAATTATAAAATTTTTCCTTCTCATAAGGACATCACCACAATATAAATTTAAAGCTACATAGGAAACCCTATAATAAATATACAAGTTAGTAATTTCAAAAAAAAAGGAAAAAAAAGTTTAACACAGAATGAATGCTTCTCTTTATAACAAAAGTTGCCTTAGTATTTAAGGCTTGTTAACACTAAAGTGAATTACTTTACCAAAAACTTTGAAAATTATGCTCAATAAAATTAAATTCACAATAGTACAAAACACAGACTGCACTTTGCTTCAATGTAGTTCAAAATCTGTGGTTACAATGTTATATTCATAATATCTGATACATCAAAAAAATATAATATTAATACATTAACAATTACCTTTAACAAGTATATTTGTAAGTGCAGCATTAAATCAAAATTTTAAGTTATTTTACATTACAATAATGCAGATACTTATACAAATTACAATATATATACTTTGAAAAAATACACAATATATACATTTTTTAAATTAAACTATAAAAACATAAAATTTATAGTTGCACAGAATCAGCATAAGGTTCTACCCCCCGCCCCCTTAAGCTAACAAGCAGATCCTTGAGTGTGGCTGTTGTCTTAAAACTGGCCACTATAGTGGTCCTTGAGTGTCTTGGGCTTTTATAAGAGCCCTCTTGAAGTCAGCCAACTCAGCCCACAGGAAATGTATCTTTTTTCTTTAAAACATAACAGAAGTGTTGCCCTACATTTAATCTAATCCTGCTCTCTTTTATAGAGGGCCGAAGACTGTCATTAAGCAGTCAAAATGCCTCTTGTACATGGTAATTACTCTAACATGGGTTGGTTCATGATAACTTAAGTTTGGTTGGGAGCTACATTCTTAGCTCTCTGTGGGCCTGTACAGTATATATCTTGGGCAGTAGTGTACCATCATTTGGTGAGGTGACTCTTTGCTTTGTCTCCATAGGCTGCTTGATGGTCAGTCCAGCCATCAATGTTGCCACCCCTCATTGATGGCATAAACCACTAGTGGTTGTGGAAATAGTCCACAAACAGGTTAGCTCATTTGTTTTACTATGGTAGCATTGAACTTGATGCTTAGAACTTCAGCAATAGCTGGCATCATTCAAAGACCTGTCTTGCTCTGACCCTCAAAAGGATCTTAGCTTTCAAACAATCTTCTTGAATTTTGGTATTTAGTATTCCTTTTAGAGGTGTAAACAAAACTGGTGACAATGATGTTTGGAGCTACTATATCTTCCAAAGGGATATTTTAGGAACAGTTCCTACTTATTGGCTCAGACTTTGTTGGAGTCAGCACTGCTGGAGTGGTCTCCTGCCAGACCATATGGAGGCTTGGATCCTCTGGGGTCAATGACAACCTTTATTACTAATACATTCAATGGAGGCTTGAATTCCACAGGACCTAAAGCTACAGATGGGCATTGTCCAGCTCCAAAAAGCTTCAAATGCAACCTCTTGTCCTATGGCAGTTCTCCCTTGATTGATCGTTTGGGAAGAACACAACTTTTTCCACAGGTTCTGCCACAGTAAATCTCAGGCTAGCTCCAGGAGTCCAAGGATCAGTGACATAGTCCACCCCTTTATGCAAAAGCTCTGAATATACTGGTCTTCTTCAAATTCACAGTCCATTTCATAATTCAGTTGCAAATGCTTCAGCAGACCTTCAGTAACAAGGCGGGATAACTACAGACTGATTGAGAAAAAACAGCCAGAATAGTCAAGAATCTGACCTTAAATAACAAAAGTTTAACATAAAACTTAAAGTCACATGAATTCCAAATGGTGTGTAAGTTGAAAAAAAAAAAAAGAGTTAAAACTCCTCAGTTACAACCATGATCTGCTTTAAAATTGCCCGAAGAAAATGCCCATAAAGCCTGTGATCTTCCCAATCCCCAATATTAAATTGGTCTTTGCTTTGGCAATACCTTCAATTGAGCTCCTTTGTATCACCCTTGCTGTACAACAGACAATAAAGCTTAACTTTCAGCTCAGTTTCATTGCTCTCCCTAGTTGTCACATGGATAGACCCTAATTTGAGTAAAATGGAATGGGGATCAAGACAGCAAAATTGGTTCCCATGCAAGAGTTGATTCAATTTAGGAAACAACTCCTACTTTTGAACTTTAGGATCCCTTAAAATGCACATTATCTGTCCTTAAGAATGATAATTTATTTTCATGCACATTGCGCTACAATATAAACTCTCTCAACATGGGCTCGGTCAATTTGACCAACCACGTGACCTCTTCGTATTTGTTCAGTCATTATAGATTTGACACTACTAACTTTTAATATAGTGTGTATATCTTCACGAACTTTGGCAATAAACATATACGTCGTTCACATACAAAAAATCATATTTTTAGTGAAGTATTTTTAATAAACTAAATAGAAAATTTGTCCTTGAATAGAGAGTATTTGTTTTGAACAGTGTGTGTTGCAAAGTGATTTTCATGTTATGATTAAAAATATTTTTCTTCATCTCAAAAATCTCAAATTTCATTTGTGTAATCTCTAAAACCTCCAAAATGCATTTCAATTGTTTGTTTTCAATAAAACTTTATATGTGATCTGTTATTTTCTCTACCCTCTTTTTATTTCTAGAATGACTTCAAATGTAGCACGAAACTATATTCATTTATCCTAAGTAGCTTTAAACTCATAACAGTATATTAAATTTTATTGTTTTATTGCCCTTTGAACTGTGTCCAACAGCTCACATTACACTATCAAACTATATTATCCACGAGCTACTCTGACCTGCTCTCGTGCATTCCTCCGAAATATTTTTATTATATTACTATTGTTGTTTGTTTTACCAAATCTAACTTAGAGATCCCTATTTTTACATTTTAGTTACCTTTATAATATTAAATAAAGAATTAACATGAAAAACAAGAAATACTTACGTGAGTATTCTTTTTTTTTTGGCTGTCAACTATCCAAGACACTTAACCTTATATTTTTATACTAATGGTAATAGTGTATTGAATAATTGTTATTTAATTAAATAATGCACCAAAGAACATAGCATAATAACATGAAAAAAGTAGACAATTTCCTCTATCAATCACAATTTGTCTGGCTTTCTAACTATGCAACAAGAACAGTTACAAATTCATCCAAGCTAACCATTTGAAATTGACAATTATCTATTCAAAGCACAACATAATACATCATTTGAGAGGTGAAAACCTTGGCTTTCTATTGGTTATACATAATATATAATTAAACATAAGAGAGATCTTTTAACATATCCTGAAAGAGAGAATGTGACAGGTGGGTGTGGCAAGAGGGGTCTGATTTTCTATTTGATAGCTCTGTAGCCAAACAAAATTGAGGGCTCTAAAATTATGGTTTCTCTGAGCAATGACGATTTTATACTGATTAATTTACGTTTCATCTCATAGTTACTGGAGGGGTAGTGGATAAAATAAAGAATAGAAGATACCTAGAGAAAATATGTTACATGTGTCACAGTAAAGGAATTTACTTAGATCAACCAAAAGAAACCAGGTGTAACATAAAAAAAGTGTATTTAATACCCACAGAGTGAAACCTAAGTCTGATGTATCAATGTACGGTTTTGCTGCCCCAATTTAAACTTGCTTTATCTAAAGCATACCAGGTTTATTTCAAAAGAAAATAAACAATCATTAGTGTGACAGCTGACAAAAATGATAAAGATTGGAAAAATAGATAAAAGACAGAACAAGCCAAAAAACTAAGCTGAAAACAAGGCTACAGAATTATTATTCTCTCTCACTCTGGGGTCAGTCAAAGTGAATCCAAAGTGACCATCAGAGTTACTACACTATAACTTATAATGTTTTTTTTTATATTCATGAAATTTGACAAGCTTTCAACAAATGTTGCTATACTTTTGTACAGAAAAATCAGATTTTTTAATAGAGTATTTTTACAAAAAAATTTGTCCATGAACATGAGAAGTCAAATTCCTGATTGCTCCAAGAACAAAGTGATTTTCATGTTATGATTAAAAATACTTCTTTATCTGAAAATTGTCAAAATTAATTTGTGTAATCTTTAAAACCTCCTAAATAAAGACTTTTTTTTCATCAAAACTTTATAAATTATATATTTTTTCAGTGATTTTCTTTATCCTAATATACACACATTCAGTCAATTTGACCAATCTTGTAATCAGCATAAAAAATATGAAATAAATCTAAATTACCCTTTTTTCTTTCTACAATGACTGCAAATTGTAACATGAAACTACAGTTGTTTATCCTAAATAGCTTAGAGCTCATTTTATTATGCAGTTATTTATACTTAAATACACTGTTTAATTGCCCTTTGAAATATATATAACTAATAATCCTGCCACAAGAGATGTAAATCACTCTGCAAACTTGCTCTGAGAATGAAGCCTACCTTGGTTGTTTCTGAAAGTAGAATCGGGTGTGATGTTCTGACAATTGACAAGATGGTGCCAGCAGTAACCAGTCATCTACTGAATAGTGTGTGCACAGGGCTGGGGAATGGAAGTGACGAGAAAAAGTTCATACAATTTGGCAGAAGTCATATGGTACCGATGCTAGTCCAAATGTAAAACCCCTGAAGTACCTAACCCTTGTGCATAAAAAATGCTAATAGTGACAAGATGCCACCGCTATGGCAATGAGCAGATAGAAGCCAACTATATCAAACTTGGACATCCACAATCCTAATAAATAATGCCAACCCAGATTGAAGAATGAGTCACTTGTTAACCTTGGAGAATCTAGGCACTGATATAGATGAAAATGTTTGATGACTGCATACAAATTTTCTGTCTTCTTAGGCCCAATAAGTGAGGGGCTGATGTTGGGGGTCGGAACCCTCGAATAGGAGCAGAACTATTACCCCCTGTAAGAGCCAATGAAAGTCAAGACACCAAAATTAACAGGAATGAATGTAGAAGCTGACAACAGGTTCCAGTTCCTTATCAATGAAGTCAGTGATCCTGAGAGTCCTCCAACAAGTCTAGTGTTAGGTAAACAACCCATTGGATATTAGAGCTGTAAGTCTGTAGACTTACCTCTATTCCAACAGTGGCCATTCAACTATTCAGGTTAACTACAAACTCTGCTTTAGAACCCCCTAATTTGAGGAGCAGATGTATTATTTCAGATTCAAAATATGCTTCCACCTGTTGGTGATAGGTAAATCATGTAGTTCCAACAACCATGGTGGATAAGGCATAGCTGAACCACAAAGTCCATGGATGGAGAGAAAACTAAATATACACTCCAAGACCTTACAGTCATCAAGTAAGGTTTAGGCTCAAATGCAAATGAGGAAACACCCAAGTCATCACACTCTCGATGGACCAACTGAAGAAAACAAATCAGAGGTAGCTTATCCAAAAGAGGCCTCCTTTTTATTTTTTAAACTGTTCTGATTACCATTGTTTGGAACCACATTTTGTCAGGTAAGTTTGTTTTGTTAGAGCAAAGTAACATTGGGACATCTACTATGTCCACTATAGGGAATCAAACCTTGGACTTCAGCATTGTGAGTCTTTAAACTTGCCACTGTCCCACAAGAGGACTGAGAAGCCAACAGAAAAAAAGAAAGCGCAGGAAAAATCTAATTGCAACTCTCTCCAGAATTGCTCCCAATTGCAGCCTCAGAGGCCTCTGAAGGAACACCACCAATACAGATATATGTCTCCAACTCACTACCAATAAGATCACTGAGTCTCAACTGAGTGACATCTCCACTCCACCCGAATGTTGTACAATGTTAGATATCAGAGGTGGGATAAGAAATACTTGACTTGCCTCTATGTCAGAAATAATAATCTAGGAATTCATACCATATATCGGATTGCCAATCAAACTTTTTATTTTTTTTTACAAAAACCAACTAGGTGACACTAAGAATGTTCAAAGTATCTCCAACCATTGTAGTAAGGAGAAATCCATTAGTGAATGCTTTGTTGAGAAAATGTGATAACATTGTCTGAAGAGCTGCTTTTATACAGTACATGGATAAAGAACACACTGACATAGGGCAATTAAGTGTGGTATAAAAGACAGGAGCAAGTGAGAAAAATCAGACCAATGCTTAGGTAGGTAAAGGCAGTCACCCTGGCAGTCAAATAATAGCTGTAGTGTGAGACAAGGTAAATATATTTTGGAACAAAATGAACAGTAGATAAAAAAAATAAGAAAATGGAATAACTGAATGTAAACACAGCTGAATAAGCTAATGTTTTACTTTATTTTCCAAAAGCTTGCCACATTTTTCAAATGCATCACCCTGCTAATACCAACTATGAGCTCAAAATTGTCTTACATGATGTTCGAAACTTACTTTTTTATTTTATATATTAATGTAAGCATATGGGTGTGTTGGGCTAAGAATTCTTCTGCAGTAGGTGTCTGACTTGTTGGTGATAAATTTGACAATAAATGAACAGCGCGTACTCCACTTCTTTTTAAATTAATAATATATAATCGAAACAAGTTAAACATACGTACAAAATTCTTTACACTATGGAGATCATAGTTTTATCTTAAACACTATACAGTTCTCTTCTTCTAGTCAAAAGTCCACTTAGGCAAATTCAATTGCTTTAGATTTCAGCTTTAGATTTTTCTCTCTTATCTCTATCACAATAGCATTTGTATGTAGTTCACTTATGTTGTCATTGAGTTACTGCAGTTGTATCCTGTACTTCCAATAACTGTCTGCTTTTGTACTTCCAACAGTTTTTGTCATAGTCCACCGAGACAGGTTCAATTACTTTAGAACACCCTTTGAGAAGACAACCTATTCTCTTTAAAAATTTTTAATCTAACTCTAATGTATCAATTAGGCCTTTCATTTCCATGACAGTTAACTTTACATTTAACTTTTCTCTTTTTTTCGCAAACACAATGTTCGATCGCCTCTACATCAATGAATTACAAACACAAAATAAATTAATGAATAATACTACCTACACTAAACAGTCATTTATGTTTTACACTTAAATACTTTACATCATACATAAAAATTTTTTCACAGAAATATCTTTAAGGGTATGATTATGCTAAAAACATAGAGACGCATTTCATCACCAATACAATGTCTTCAATCTCTAAAAGCAGTGTCTGAAGACCAACAGATGGTAAGAATAATATTAATATTTATCAAAAATTTGACTTAATAAAAACTTTATGGCTTAAAAACATAATTATGAACCATGATAAGCATGGCTTGCAGTAGAACAAAGAAGAAATGTGTCAAACAGAAAAAGATAGTGGAAGTGATCAAGTAAAAGATTCAAGTTTAAAACATATACAGGGAGTAACATAAAGATAAATTGCAGAAATACATGACAAGGAAATGAACATTATTACTACAGAAAACATGTATGATAAAGCACTACCCACCTTTATGTCAACAGCATTTTCTAACTGCTGCTGTTGAGATGTTGATTTTTCTGCTTGAGACACAGTAAACTGAGCATCTAACTTCTCTGAATGAGGTTTTCCAACTGCTTCGAGTTGTTTCTGGTATTCCAACTATAACATATGATGTAATAATAATATTGTAACTTATTTAATGTATTTTATTGGAATAAAAATAACTTACAATGTTTACTTAGCATACTTTAACCATTATCATCTGCACCCATATATTTTGGAATGCTAGACATCATTTTGCCAATTATGGTAATGGGAAACAAAACCTATGGATAAAGAGTTAACTGGCAATAAGATTTTAAATTTGTAACTAAAAATGGAATTTTCATAAACATGTAACAATCTTATCATGCAATAATCTTTTATTTTCTTAAAAAAACTGTATTCTAGGGAAATATATCATTTAATGGATTGTTCAGAAAAATGATAAACCAGAAATGGACTCCATTAACTTTACATTCTGGTTAGAAGAGTAGTTAGATAGAAGAAAGCAGAAGGTTGTTACAAATGGAGTTTAGTCAAACTGGATTAATGTAACAAGTGGTGTACTTCAGGGCTCAGTCTTAGAACCTTTGCTCTTTTTAATTTACATCAAGGACATAGATGAAACAATGGTCAATATCAATAAATTACTTATACTGCTGATGATATTAAGGTACTGGGTGTTGCTAGCTGTGAAGAGAATGATGCTGCTGCTTTACAAAAGAACTTAGATCATTTAGTGAGTTGTCCAAATAAATGGCAGATGGGTTTTAATTATAATAAATGCAAAAATATGCATGTAGGTTATCATAATTTGAATTATATGTACCATTTAAATATGAATAATCTTAACAATGTAATGGAAGAAAAGGATTTTCGTTCAGGGGTTGATCACTTTTTTTGAGCCATCTAAGCAGTCTAAAGCTAGTGGTCAAGCAAATGGGATTTCAGGTTGTATCTACATAAATATTGAATATAAGCCCAACAAGGTTACAATTTCATTGTATAGGTCACTGGTTAGGCCACATTTGTAGTATTTTTTTCAGTCTTGGGCTCCTTATCTTTTGAAGGACATTGAATTGTTGGAAGGGATTTAAAGGAGGGCTACTACCTGGTATGGAAAGGCTATCATACAAGGAGAGGTTACAATCTTGAAATTGTTTTCTTATGAAAAAAACAAGAGTTAGAGTGGATCACGTTCAGATGTTTAAAACTGTTAAGGGAATTAATGACATTGATGAATTGTTTTTTTTCATACTTAATGGTGGGGCTAGAGGGCACAAATATATATTTTTGGCAGGATAAGTCATCTTCAGCTAAAACAGTTTGATTTTCCTAACAGGGTAGTTGGCCTTTGGAATGGATTGTTTTTGATGTTGTGAAGGCAGCAAAGTTAATTGAGTTTAAGAGAAAGCTTAATAAATATATGAATGATAAGAGCTGGCTTTGAAGATTTAATTTTTTTTAGTTTTAGTTAAGTTTAGAGGATGGAACAACCTAGATGGACCAATAGGTCCCTTGTTGTCCCTGAAAATTGTTATTCTTCACACAGTGATACATCAAGATCTTTGACATTTGCATTATGACACATTACACAGCAACTAAATGAATCAAGATTTTACAAAAACAACTCTTTTCGATATTTCATATGATTTCCTGTTTTGAAAGGTATTTTAAAAATGTCATTACAGAACTTGTATACGGAAAAACTAAATAAAAAATGTACTTGTGATTGTTCTGGGGACATTTTAATACACCCAATTTTGGATTAACCCTTTACCATCCATGGAAGTTTTTTTTTCCATTAATGTAATTGGTATAAAGGAACAGGTGGAGATGATGTCTAGCATGTGTAAGTATACAGGTGGAGAGGATAACATGGATAAATAGTATTAGAAAGGAAAGCAAACTTTTTGTACAATTTTAAAAATGTTATATTATGTACAGAATGACACTAGTAAAAAAACCACTGTTGGTCACAATGACCTATATCTACTTGTTTTACCTGTCACTACACACAATGGAATGGTCATTACCTGACACCTGTTCATTCTTAACTCTTAATAAACTGACAAACATAATTGTATTTATGGGGGAATAAAATAACTTGGAGAAAAATATTCTTTAACAAAGAAATGTTACTTTTGATAAACATAAAGCTAAGTAAATAACTTTATAGAGCTGTGCTTGAAGGTTCATTTGCTAGCAAGAAACTCAAAAATTGTTTAAACATTTCAAAATTGGTCAGGTAACATTCAAACAGTGGCAGATGCTTTTTTTTTCTCTTGTTACCAGAAATTTTTTGAAAATGTTTGAACAGTAATTGCACCTTAAAAGTCCCACATGAAAAATTCAATCTTTTTATTTATATATTGCCCAATACTTAAACACAAGTTGTATGAAGAAACAAAATATTACATATGGTAGCATGGGGAGTATATTTAGCATTTACATCACTTCAATAAAATCTAATGATTGTCTAGTATACAAGCCATAAGACTGTTATCACAGGATAAATATGAATCACCAAATATATGCCAGCAATAATGAATCTAATGATGAAATTATATGTAAAAAATTCACAGTCTGTGTTTGTTTTCTAACTGAACTGTTAGTGTTATTCTACTGTTTTGCTGTTTATTATTAAATTTATCAGATATGTTTGATTAATCAACAATTTCATGTTAAATAGACAAATAACCAATAACCTGCTTTGGAACTATGAATGTTAAACAAAACTTTGTTTTGCTTAAGTCATCTGCACTTTTTTTTTTAATTGGCTGCAATAAGGTTCCCATTCAATGAAAGTTTAATGTATATAGTTACATATAAAAATGTGACTATAGTTCTATATAATGTATTTTTCAAATACTTGTCAATGTTTTATTTCTTTTATGTGAATTACCTATACAATAAAAGGTTTTTCAATCTGATATAAACTAGTAGTTATGATGACATAATTAGTAAATTATTCAGATTATTACTACTGATGGTAATGAGAATCAAACCTGAGACCCTTGAATCATGAGCCCCTCCTTCCTACTAAATCACCAAAGTTTAACAAACTAGAAATAAAAATAAACTTTTAGGTTGAAATTCTGCAAAACACAAATAGCCCATTATGTAACTCTGTGCTTAACAAACAATAGCAATATTTCAATTTGAATAGTTTTAATAATGAAAAGTAGTAATAATTGGAATTCCTAATATAAGTTAATATAAGTTGTGCAACAGAACCCCTTATATGGAGCTACTGAATGGAATGAATCAATTATTATTATTATTATCATCAACATATTTAAACAGGAAAGACTAGATTAGTATAGTAATGCTGCTTTTCAGCAGTGCAACAAACGTTACATCAAATATCCTAATACTAATAAAGTTAAAGATATTTGAAACTATAATAAAAATATAAATAAGCATACCATTTCAATTAAAGTATTAGAATTACTGATACATTAATTATGAACAATGGAAATTATAATTAAGTAATTTTAAAGCATATAACTAATGAATAATAGTAATTAACTTTTTAAAACCACCTTTGCCCTATGCAGTACTTTAATTAGTACTGTACAAAAGGTTTGGGTGAAATACACCAAGCTGTTTTTGCTGTACCTATACAAGGACAGAATAATACGAGAATCACAAATGTGCTGTTTTGGGCAGATTTTCTTTTACCTGCGAATCTAACATGCATACTTTTTTGTCAGTACGTTTATTATATAGATATATATATATATTGTACTTCCATTGCAATCACAAATAAAGATTTTACAATGCTGCTTGACCTGAAATTCTACTGCTTAAGGTGCTTTATGCTTGAGCATTCTATCAGTTTTGTCCAATTTCTGGTTGATTCCTATTCTGAACCATTGTAATGGTTCATGATATATAGATTAAATCACACTGCTTTACTAATCACTGTAATTGCTACTTGTAAGTAATAGATCATATTGATTAAATCAATAAGCTCTAATTACAACCCTAACTGTTCATGACAATTTGTTTTCTAAAGTTGTTGAAATGCAATTTTCTAGCATACAAATTTCATTTTGCAAATCAAAATTCATTCAACTATCTAATCCAACAATTCTCAACTTAAAACTAGAAGTAATGTATCACAGCAAACTAAATCACTGCCAGGTAAAAGAAGTGCATATTTATTAAGCCTTTGGTAAATCCATTTGTTCTTGCAGCTTCTTTGCAAAATTGGTAAAATGTTTTGTTTTCCCATCAACATTTTAGTGTTACAGCCACACAAAAGTATTTTTCCCCATTCAAGATTTTACAACTTCTTTATTTTCATACTTAGACTTTGTAGTTTCAATGTCATCAGGCTCCAACAGATTCAAAGGATCTTCATGGACATTTAGTTCAGTATTTCTTATTTGTCGAGAATCTGTATTTATATTAAATTTATCCAGGAAGGACTCTTGCATGTTACTTATCTCTCTCACTACAAATGGCTCAAAAAGTGCATATCACGTATTAGAGAGTTATTTTCTAATCTTAACTAAACAACTTTATTTCAACATACATCAGTAAAATTGGCATCAGAACTTAGTTTGTAATTCAAATTTTAATGTTATATATGTTTTAACACTCACTAGGGGCTCTGTCGAATCAGCTGAGTTTGTAACCTCAAATTGACCTCTTAGAGTTTCCATACCATAACTTTTAACATGTTTGTGTATCTTCACAACATTTTGCAAGCTTTCAGTAAACATTACAAATCTTTTATAGACAAAACCTCACAATTGTTAATAAATTTGTCCATGAATATAGGCCCCCCAATGGCACAGTGGTATGTCTACGGACTTATACTGCTAGAAACCAGCTTTCAATACCCATGGTGGGCAAAACACAGATAGCCCTTTGTGTAGCTTTGTGCTTAATAACAAACAAACAAACCATGAATATAGAGTCAAAAGGTTGACTGCTCCCAGTGCAAAGGGATTTGCATGTTAAGATTAAAAATACTTTATTTAAAATTGTCAAATTCTCATTTGCATAATAATTAAAACCTCCAAAATAAATTTCAAATGTTTTTTCCTGTAAAACTTAATATTTTATCTATTATTTTCTGTACCGTAACTCTATTCATATTTGACCAATCTTGTAACCACCTTGGAAAAACATGAAATAAATTAAAATTACTTTTTTTGTTTTAGAACAATTGCAAATTGTAACAGGAAAGTTAACATTTTCCTACACTGAAAATGTATTTCCAATAATACTTACCTTCGCTGACACTATAGCTGTTTCTCGATAACCAGGGTTTCCACTCTTTGCCCATCTAAACATTGAAAATGCTTGCTCCAGTCTTTTTACGCCACTCAAATGCCCTTGGCAAATTCTAATTTCCAAAATTCTCCACCAACTTCATTGCACCCTCTATCTAGGTTCTGCATATAAGCATATCATTCAGATAATGTAATCACTTTTTTGAGATATAAACCAACTTTTAATGGGGAAGTAGGGCAGGAGAGTGTCAGCAGAGGTAAGTACTATTGGAAATATATTTTTAGTTTACGACATATAGCTAGAATCCCACATTAAGAAGGAGGAGGGACTGATGCAGGCATGAACCATACAGAAAGTATCTGTATAGAACAGGAATGTACCAAGATAAAGATGGTACAAGAGTGGAAGTACTGCAATATTTCCAGAACAGGTATGCTCTTCACCAGGAACTCAGTTCTTACATCAAAGGTGGAATAGAATATGACTAATCATCAGTATAGGCCATCTCCAATCAGATAGCTGAGGTTCCACAACTCGGGGTTGAAATTAAGATGTGGTAGTGAGTGGTACTTATATCCCATGTTGGTGGCTAGGGCTACTGGACCACAATGTTATATGTATACTTTTGATTGGATCCCAACCTGCAGCCATAGAGTGATGCATTTTGCACCATGGGAATCACGATGAGAAAGTAAGCAACACTGAAGTGGAAAAACTTTCTCCTCCACCTGAATAAGGCCAAAACGCAACACCTCAGGCTCGGAATGTGATTGTGTATGCCATAATCAACCAAAGGAACAGAACTCATCCAGTCTGGAATTATGAATATTCATCCTCACTCCCTAACTAAGTGGGCAAGGAGTATTCCGATTGCCCCTGGAATTATGGACTGGAAGCGGAACCTGTTCTCAACCAAGGACCTAGGATGGGACCACTTCGTGTTTGGAATTATGAGGAGATAGTATACTTCCTTCCATGAACAATACATGAAACCGACATTGATCAAAGAGAAGGCCTATGCACCCCTCAACCGGATAGCTTCATGTCAAATGCGAACTGGAATTACAAGTAGGCTCCTGCGGAGGCTTATGCCATTCCTACTGGCAACTGGGAAAAACATCCAAGGAGCCAAGTAGGAGAGCCTCCAACTTGGCCCTCTTCTCCAAAAATGGAGGAACACACTGGAGGAAAAGCTTCTGTCTGCCAACCCAGTGACTGGAAACTGGGGGTGGTAAGGACCCCAAAGCTTCACCAGTAAAATTTGGGGAGTAATGCACATTGGGGAGTCCCTGAGGAACAGTGCAATAGGTGAACCAAATTCCCTAAGCTTTTAAAAGCAAACAAAGAGAGAAGAGGTGGAAGAGGTATGGTTGTCCTCCGTAGTAGAAACATTAACTTGGGAATTCATACTTGTCTGTATGTTGTTTTTTTTTGTTAAAGTAATTTAGAAATATAAACAAAGATACAACCATAGCAATTTCAACCACGTTCAAAGTCGCAACGTAAATTATGAATAATCACAACACTCCTGTTCATATAAACCCATGCCGGATGCTTTGTCGAGAAAAATTGATTATATTATTTGAATAAGGTGCTTATATACAGTACCTAGATAGATGGCACATTGAAGTTGGTGGAGAATTTTGCAAATTTTGTAGAAAGTTATGTACCTGATGATGACAAAACCTTGTCGAAACATTGTACATTTGCTGTTATGTTAAACTTATATTAAAGTTTTTCATTACCCATTCAAGTTGCCTCCAGCCATTATTAAACAGTTGAAAAAATTTCAACATCAATCAAATGTTAAACTTCTAAAAGTTGAAGTCCAAATAGACTAAAGTCAAGCTAACAAAAGTTCAACAGCTTTAATAACAAATTCTTAAAACAGATGGCCTAGGTTCTAATTTAGATTTCATAACTAATAAACATGTGAGAAATTTAATAATAAAGCTAAATTAAATTGTGCAATTAATTTGGAAATAAAATGTGAAACAACACTCAAGATAGAGAGAACAGCCAAACAAACATTACAGCATCATGATGAACAATGAAGCAATATGTGAAGTGTATGAAGTGTCAAGAATAAACTGTGAAAACATAAGATTAAGTGCAAAGTATATATAAACAGATGAAGAACCACATGAAAGAAAATAACTGTCTAAAAAGTCTATAAACTGAGGACAGGAACACATCAACTATATAATATTCTCTCTTTCTCACAAATACACACAGCATGAGATGTGAGAGTTGTTCAAGATTACAGATTGGAATTAGTAGATAAGTACTATAGGAAGAAGTAGAGATAGAAATCTAAAGTTATAGCAAAGTTACAGTATCATATTTGAATTTTAATACTAAAAATGTTTTCTTACCTCTTTTTTCTTCTTTTTTTTATCTTTGTGGCTTAGCTTTTGTTTTGCATTTTCACCATTTTCAACTAAAAACAAATAACATCGACATAAAAATTCATCTTTTCCCAGACTATCATACAAAATATACACATATAATTATAATGATGGTATACACGTATAAGAAGTATGTAAAACTTTAAAATCTAGATTTCAATTCAATTTGAGACAGGCAATATATGAAACATATTGATAAAAATACTTTAATATTATTGTTAGAGAACTGGATAAAATAACAGGAATAAAATAATGGTTCTCAGCAAAATCAAAACCTGATACAATTTTCTATGGAGTCACTTTCTTGATCTAGTTCTCTGTGAAAAAATCCAGCAGTGTGGCATACTGTAAGGAACCATGCTCTTAATATTGAAAATGTGAAGATCTTAATAAAATGTACACATATGTAGCTGGTGAAATTTTTTTTTTAGCATGACACAAATGAAATATTTAACTATATTACTATGATCTCACTAACGTTGAGTTTACATAATTTATTCTTGAATAATGCAAGTAAATATAAGTTTTAACAATTATAAAAATGCAAGATTATAATTTTATGTACCCATGAGTTGAATATACAAGACTGTTTAGTGTAGGTATTATTATTATTTAATGTATTTGGTGAGTTAATATTTCATGATTGTTTAGTTTTCATTACAAGAGAGTTATAAGTAGTTATTTCACAAACGATATATATGACAAGATTGGTTGCATAACTCTGTACGAGTGGGTCATAAGTTGTATTTGCAATTACATTGTTGTCCAGGCTTTACTAATATATTTGACATCACATTACTCAAATCTTCAGTATTTTTCAAGGCCTCAGTAATCAACACATACATAGAGGTGACCAAGTGAGCACAAGTCATGTGAAGTAAAGTAAAGCAAGTCAAGTAAAGGTCAGTCAGAAAAAAGTTAGAAAAGTTGAAGTTAGCCAGTGTGCGAGTGATTAGCCATAACGAGTGATATTTTAAAGTTTAATAGAGATGAGGAGAATAATTTGTTTTGTCAAAGCGTGTTCTAAAGTAATCGGACCCGTCTGTGTGGACTTTGACAAAAAGAAGACAATTATTTGAAGTTCAGGATGCAATTGTGGTAACCCATGGGGTAGTGCAAATTATTCACTGATTTGTATTGTGAGAAAAGAAGATAAAGAAAAATAGTTTGTCTTGTCAATTGGATTCTAAAATAATTGAATCAGCCTAAGTAGACTTTTGTCAAGAAAAAAAATTATTTAGAGTTTGAGATAAAACTGTGATATCCTATAGTGTAAAGAATTTTTGTACATACGTTTAATTTGTTTAGAATATATTATTTTAAAACAAGTGGAGTGTGTGCTGTCCGTTTATTGTTCAAATTTATTTTCAAGTCACACACACACACACATCTACTGTAGAAGAATCCTTATCCCACATATACATAAAACCCTGACACCATGTAAAACTGAATTAACTTAAAAGCAATGGTATAGGTTCACTTGATAACAGGAGATTCATTCAAGATACTGATTACGAAGTAATTCAATTTCTGAATAACTGAGCCATGAAGTTGAATAGAATAACAAGATGGAAGTGAAACATGAACAATCTTTATTGAAAGAGGCCTAACACAGAAACCCAGTGTTTTCTTGCTTTTATTTTGACTGAACCATTGCTTCTACTATATCCTCTATATTCAACTGTTCAAACGAGTCCATGTACCAGGCTGATTAACCCTCTTGCTAAGGGTAGGTCAAAGTGAGCATGTCATGACCTGTTACATAGTTACATTCAAAATTTAATAACTATTTTATCATCTATATATATTAATAAACTTGGCAATAAATGTTTAAAACTCACCTATTAACAAGTTTTAGCTTTCTATTTTTTAGAGTATATACATATATATATAAATAAATGTTAAACTTCACTTTCTGTATCACACAAATTCTTCAGTCCAGACTACTCATTTCCCTCTATCTCTCTAAAGCATTGCAACTTTCTGTGGAATTTCTCATTTATACTATATATATAACCCACAAGTTAAACTGTCAATTTGTAGCAAAGAAGCTTTCTGCTTTATGGAGATATAACCGATAAAGGCCAAATGCCACATTTCCCACAGATCATCCTGCTTTCAAAACTTGTTATAAATTACTTCTGATGTTTACTACTGTATCATTTATAACTAACACAAGGTGAAGGTTTCACTTAAATGACAGCTATGGGTCTAGAGGCCTTGGATTAAGCAACTTTAAACATTTTGATATTATTGTCTCTGAATGACACTGTTGGAGCTCTGCTTGACCAGGTATGGGAATTACTTTAAGCCATTTCTATGTTAGCTATAAAGCCAAATAAATTAGACAAGGTTTAGGACATATTATTTTATATGCATAAAAGTATTTTACATTCTAAATGGGACAACTGAAGTCAAAAAATAATTTCCAAGACTGCATTCTCATTAAATTGAATAAGGGTTACATTCTGATGTCGACTTGGATTGTTCAAATGCAAAATTTTGATGAAGACAAGATTTCAAATGTAAAACTAACAAAATGTAAATATTGAAAACATATAAATAATTTTATGTGAGATAAATAAACCAAATACCCATAATCAATGATAGAATGTGCCAAGTTAGAGCATGGTTGTGTAATTCAAGATGAGCATGTTTATAACTGGATCCATATTTATACAAAGCTGTCCAATATAATAAGGTAAGTAAAATGTTACCTTCTGAGATGATACCTCACCTCATCACACAGATTAGCTACATTCTCTAAAAAAGAAGTAATACATATTCCTCTCAAAGATGGTGAGGCGATTGAAGAATGGTGACCAGTGGAAACCAAAAACTATCAAAAGATAAAAGAGCCAGAAGGTGTAGAAAAGGAGATGAATATGTGCAGAGAGTCCACATACTTCCATGGAGCATATCAGCCAAGAGCTGTAAATGTATAATTACAAGAATGAAAAAAATAACAAACCAAGTGCAAAAAAACAGGGAAATACTCAGGGGGCATCCATATCGCAAGATGAACATGTCAATGAAGAAGTCAACATGCTCATAATGGAAGGGGAAAAGGAAATACATCCATGAAAAAGAAGGGTCCTATAATAGAGACAGATGAAGGCAGGGACCTCTAAAGGGAGAGGTCTGTGATACAGCACATCAAACAGGACACAGGAGTCATTCTGGGTGAGAATGGTCCAATACACTTGAGACAGAGGGAAGAGACATAAGAGAGAAGTACAGTGCACCTACTGAGTGGTTAAGTCTGAGGAAGAAAGGATCAGTCCAGGGTGAGGAAAAGATAAGTACAATGGAAGAGGGTGAAAAAAGCATCTTAAAGAACAATAGTAATCATGGGAGAGAAGTAGGAAGAAATAAGTCAATAGAAAGATGGTACAAAAACCACAAAACTAATGTTTGGTACGAGACTGTACAAACCCTCATTACCCCTTTCACAGTGGGCAGGTCAAAGAGCACATGTCATGACATTTTAGATAGTCACTTTCAATATTTCATTAAATAACTTAAAAATTACTTATGTCATTGGAAAGAAAAATGTTGGTAAAAATAGATGTAACAGCACAGAAATATGTCTATATAAGCACAGCTATAGTGGTGGAAAAAATATTGTAGAGATTACAACCACGCTATACAACCATGTCGGTTTTGGTTTTTGATATGTGGATAGAGAGAAGAGAGTTTGTTAAACAACAACAAGGCCTAGAGAGAGACGAGCATAGGTAGAGAGTTGACTGTGGGAGGACACCTAGGAGCAAAGAAAGTGGCAGACAGAATCACCAGCAACTTCCATTGGCCAGGGGTCATTGGAGATATGACAAGGTTCTGCAGGTCATTTGACATCTGCCAAAAGACAATACCTAGAGGAAAGGTAGCCAAATTGCCATTGGGTGTTTGGTTTTAATCAAGCACAAAGCTACACAAGGGCTATCTGTGCTCTGCCCACCACGGGTATCGAAACCCGGTTTCTAGCATTGTAAGTATGCAGACATACCGCTGTGCCACTGGGGGGCACCCTTTGGGTGAGATGCCTCTCATAGTAGAACCATTCAGCAGAGTAGTGGTGGACTTGATCGGAACACTAGCACCTATAACTGACAAGAGCAACCAGTATGTGCTGACAGTAAAAACAATGATCATCGAACAGTTCGTGAGGCACACAAAC